CAGAGATCAGCTGGCATCAAAGACCTTGCACTGCCATACTTAAACAAGATGTCCAAGGTTATCTGTTCCAGCACGCGGAACCCATTCACAGACAGCACGATCCTTGACATTCATTGGGATCTGTCGAGCACAGACATAGCAAAACTAAAACGAAAAAGGCTGGGGGAAAGGGGGGGGGGGGCGCTCAGCTGGTTATCTCTGTTCAATCTACATCAACGGAAGTCGTAATGTTGCCTTAGTGAGAAATGCAGCACAAGATACAACACACAGAGAAATGTTCAGAGGTTTTAAATTCTAGGAAACAAATGCACTGGCTGACAACAGAGGTCATTACTGTCTTATTGTCGTGAGCTCTAGCCAAACTAACAAGAAATTCACAGTGGCTGAAAAAAAAAAAAAAAAAAAAAAACTACAGGAAATGATAGACATTGTGGTGGTAGACAGTGGAAGAATAGGCCTCAGTTTGAATAATGGGAAGACAGAAGTAATGGTGGTATCAAAGATCAAACATCTTCCTAAATGTGTAAAAAAAAAAAAAAAGGCAATGGTGTTATTTTAGGAAAAGTACAGACATTTAAGTGCTTTAGTTTTTAGTTACCCCAGACACAGAAAATCCAAGGGAAATCAGCAACTAATGGAACAGTCGACTATTCCGGGGTGGTGCAATGAGTTATCATGTCTGTCTTCTGTACCATGTGTCATCATGTCTGTCCCCTGTACTATGAGTCATCATGTCTGTCCCCTGTACTATGAGTCATCATGTCTGTCCCCTGTACCATGGGTCATCATGTCTGTCCCCTGTACTATGGGTCATCATATATGTCCCCTGTACCATGGGTCATCATGTCTGTCCCCTGTACTATTAGTCATCATGTCTGTCCCCTGTACTATGAGTCATCATGTCTGTCCCCTGTACTATGGGTCGTCATGTCTGTCCCCTGTACTATGGGTCATCATATATGTCAACTGTACCATGGGTCATCATGTCTGTCCCCTGTACTATGAGTCATCATGTCTGTCCCCTGTACTATGAGTCATCATGTCTGTCCCCTGTACTATGGGTCATCATATTTGTCCCCTGTACCATGGGTCATCATGTCTGTCGCCTGTACTATGAGTCATCATGTCTGTCCCCTGTACTATGGGTCATCATATAAGTCCCCTGTACCATGGGTCATCATATAAGTCCCCTGTACCATGGGTCATCATATAAGTCCCCTGTACCATGGGTCATCATATAAGTCCCCTGTACCATGGGTCATCATGTCTGTCCCCTGTACCATGGGTCATCATGTCTGTCGTATGTACCATGGGTCATCATGTCTGTCGTATGTACCATGGGTCATCATGTCTGTCGTATGTACCATGGGTCATCATGTCTGTCCCCTGTACCATGGGTCATCATGTCTGTCCCCTGTACCATGGGTCATCATGTCTGTCGTATGTACCATGGGTCATCATGTCTGTCCCCTGTACCATGGATAGTCATCTGAGTCCCCTGTGCCGTGGTTGATAATGCCTGTCGTGAGTTCTCAAAGAACGTTGTTCCTTTCTAGTGCTTAAACTATTGTCTTTATTCTTTGCCTCCTTGTGTCTCTGTTTTACGCAAACTGTTTTAGCCAGTATCTGTTAAGAAGACCCTTACTGTTTCATTCCGTACCTCTTTTCTGACTTGCGGGTGCTCACTCTTGCATCCGGTATCCCTGATCTACCAGGTCTCTAACTGCAGCTGTTATTTCCTTGAACAGCAAACAGCTCATCGCACGTTAAGTGTTCATCCCAAACAAAATACACAAGCCATTCTATAGCTGACAGCTTTACTAACAATGGTGTTTGCAAAATCTGTTACTTCAACTACAGTTTCTCACTTAACCTGTCAACGCCTGAGTATTTTTCGTGTAAGATCAATGTCTTAAGACAGAGAGGGTTAAGTGAAAACTGCATGCCGTCGATTCATCATCTATCACGAGTTCTGATCTTTCGCTGACGGAACGTGGTGTGAAAGTTCCATTACAGTACGAATGGGCACCCGTTCGTGTCGTCCCAACACTAGATAATGAGGATGTGGTTGAGGGGGGGGGGGGGGGGGTTGGTAAATTGTAATTATGGTGATCATCGTAGCGCTACCATTACTGTAGCTGTGGATGCTGCTGGTATGGATGATGCTGCTGTGGATGATGATGCAGTTGTCAATGTTGTAGACACAATCAAAACAGTATATAATATATATATATACTTCATATATATATATATATCTATATATATATATATATATATATATATATATATATATATCTAAACGGCCAGAATATTACTCTCAGACTTCGTTTATTTTTACTGATTGTTAAAACAAACAAACAAACAAACACACGGAGTATGACACAACGAAATCCATTCACGGAATGCAGACGTCGTTTCTCCTCTAAATGCATACACAGGTTAGTGATGTTTTCAATGTTGTGACACAGGTTACTAATGTTTCCCTTGTGACACGGGTTACTAATGTTTCCCTCTGTTTTACGACACAGGTTACCGATGTTACTGTTTTGGTGACGCAGCGTAATGATGATTCTCTTGTTGTGAGACACGTTCTGATATTTTTCTTGTTGTTACATAGGCTTTTATCTTTCTGTCAATGCAGGAATGAAATTGTGTCACGCTGTTAGCGCAGCATCCAATGATGTTTCTGCTGTGAATCTTGTGTGAACTGTTCTTTGTTTGACATCTTGATGTTATCATTATGTAATCTTGTTGTTTGTTATTTAGGTTCGTGCAGACTGTTATCAGGATTCTGTGTCTGACATTGTTCTTGCTGTCTGTGATTGTACGGACCTGGCTACATGTCTAGAACACCGCCCAGTCGTTCAGCAACATTTGAAATCGTTGATTATTTTATTTTTTTGGGTAGCAAATCGCAGTTATTTTAACTTATAGCAGACTTTGAGAGTTTTGCTTGAGATTTTGCGGTAGTTTATGTTTCTTCTATTTTTAAATAAATGTCCCTAGTGCCTGTCGTTCTCTAAATCATGTAATACCACAGACCTTGAAGTTTAATAGACCTTACAGTGCTGTAGATGGACTTACACCAAGATGGACTGGAACTGCAATGTCATTGACTTTACAGTCTGCGACGTTAAAGTACCACAAATCGGGCAGCTCTATAGACCTAATAGTGTCATTCACCTTACGGTGCTGAAGATCTTACGGTGCTGAAGACCTTACAGTGCTGAAGACCTTACAGTGCTGAAGACCTTACAGTGCTGAAGACCTTACGGTGCTGAAGACCTTACGGTGCTGAAGACCTTACGGTGCTGAAGACCTTACGGTGCTGAAGACCTTACGGTGCTGAAGACCTTATGGTGCTGAAGATCTTACGGTGCTGAAGACCTTACATTGCTGAAGACCTTATGGTGCTGAAGACCTTATGGTACTAAAGACCTTGCTCTGTGCATGGTCCTAAAAGTGCCTCAGTGACGCCGGTATCACATCTGACAGTACAATTACCCTTGCTGTTATTAATTGGTTAAGCTTATCCTTGGTGTCTCCAAGTCTCTGTGGCAAGATATTCCTACGTTTACAGACTAGCTTCTGCCAACTGCTTAAAACGAAATAACATCTAAAGGGTGTCTATAGGATTGTGCCGCATCAGGCAACCCGGAGCAGACCTAATGGCCTTCTGGTCTTGGCGCCTTCACTCACTGGGGCACTTTCCACGTATGCTTTCATGTTAACAGAAGTAATCTCAGCGGTGTCTCTGATCTTTCGCACTTTCGTGCCCTTAGAGTAGACGATGTAGGTGGGCAGAGTTTGGGCACTCTGGCGGTAGCAGAGGATCGGGTTTTCCATACAGTTGACAGCAGCGTAAACATGGTTGGCTCGCTTCGTCGTCTCCGCAGCCTGGAGAGACAAAAAACAGTTGTCATTATGTAAATTTGCTCACAATATAATGTACATACATTCTACTTGTCATGTAAAAGTAATAAACATCTGCACATTATCCACATCAGCGTTGATTACAGTACCACACTTGTTTTTGCGAATATTATCTGGTGAGACTCCAATCGCTTCTACAGTGCAACTCTCATACCATTGTCTGAAAACAACAAACATGTTTTATTTTAAACTGGCCACGGCTGGGAATGGACGTCAGTACTCGGGGATCAATTCATTGTTCTCCATTTCGCTGGCTTCTGAGATAAGGAGCCGTACTTTTTGCATACTGTAGTGTAATTTTGCCCCTGCGTGGTAATTTGCGTACATGTTTTATCCTTCGTTGTCTGCGAATTGTCCTATGTGTGTTTACCTTCCTTGTTATATTATTGGGGCGAGTGTCCCAGTGTTGTAATTAACATCCATGAGTTAATGCTGGCAGTTATAATTCATTCTCATCAGTGAGTTGGCAGTTGTAATTCATTTTGAGTTTCTTGAATATTGGTTTTTGAAATCTTCTCAAAATTAAAAGAGAGAAAGCAATAGAGAGAGAGAGAGAAAGAGAGAGAGAGAGAGAGAGAGAGAGAGAGAGAGAGAGAGAGAGAGAGAGAGAAGAATAAGAAGAAGAGAGGCAGGAGATTAGAGGGGAAGGAAAAGAGAGAAGGATATGGATGAGACAGGCTGAGGAAGAGCGAGGGAAAATAAGTTGTGGAGAAATAAGAGTTGTGCAGAAGCCAGGTCGACACAGCCCTAAATGGATACCAGGAAAACTCCTGTGAAGTGATAGCGGCCCAACAAATGTTGAGCTCATTGCCAACAGAATGCCAATTGTTCTATCAAATGCTGTAAAACATCGGTCTGGGTGTGTATGGCCAGTATGGACTGAAGGCAAGGACAAGTGTTGACTGTACGTACACCTACCTTAGCCACACGTGGTTTGCACCAATGGCTTTCCGAATCAGTCGGGTCATAGAAGAAGACAAAAGCTACATCCCGGTTACTCAAGAAAGGCGTGAAGGTCAAATCATTTAAGCCAAAGACTAACTCCGACTTCACGAACGGATCCTGGCCAACCTGGCCCGAAATATCGGGATCTTGGGAGATCATTTTCAGCTCTGTGAATTTGCGTCTGCCGAAAGCTGGAGTTCTGGGTCTTGTTATTGATGGCATATTTTCATCCATAACTGGTGAACTGGAAACGATATTCTGTCTATTGCGAGGTGGTGTTTTGGCAACTGGGGATTTGATGACAGACTTCTGTGAGGGTTTGGGAGCCGTGGGGGGCTTGAACAGCTTGTCGTCAGACATTGTGTGGTGAGGTCTTTGCTGGAAAGAAAATTTGAGACTCACTTAAAACAATGATTAGGTGGTACCTGCGACCGTGCTAGTTTGTCTATGTTTGTTTGTTTGTTTGTTTGTTCAGATGTTTGATGGGGACGAAGACACTGGACAGGGCATGGCCGTGTCTCAGTCTGTGGACATGTCTTGAGGACAGGTTCAAGGACACCAGAAACGTGCGCCATACACTTACATCACAGCCGTGCGTAAAAGTGCGCACACGTGCTGCTGTTGTCACGTCCGTATTGGAAATAACAAATTTCTCACATCATCAGCATCGTTGCCATCACCATTTTTTCTTCCATCTGCCTTTCAGTCTTTCTCTCTTCCTCCACTGACCTCGGCGAAGAATTAGGGAAGGAAACGTAAAGGGATGTAAAGATTATCTTCGTGTTCTCCAACTGTATATCTTGTTTTTCAGTTTTCTAACTTAGATCAGAACAGGTATGCTTCGTGCAGAGTGGCAAGCTTCGCTGCGGAGGACACGGGTGAGGAGTATTGTCTGGATTTTGTCACCGGGTCACGCCGGTGTGTTGGGAAATGAACAGGCGGACAGACTGGCTGCCTTGTGGGAGAGCGTGTACAGCTCAGAGGCGCAGATGGATCACCACAGTCTGGTGAGATTGATGCAGCGGGAAGTGACGAGAGGTTCTGGAAGGTGCTAGAGGCTCAGAGGAAAGGCAAGACGGACGTTTAATCAGAATGCTACTGGCACCATTAGTATCGGAACTCTTCGCTAGCTGCTGAAGATGGGGACGGAGCGCTTATAGGAATGTCGGTTCTTGAATCAAATAAAATCAATCAAATCTCTAACTCAGCAGCTAGGCGAGGAAACTATATCTCTTTAGTCTGCAAATGGGAGACTCTACAGCCATAGACTGTCAAAAGCAAAAGCTTACTGCGACTAAACTAAGTAAAATCCCTATCCACCATACTGATGGGAAACTGTCTCTAAACTTTTTCTTGCTAACATTGCGTGCTCTTGGACAGTCCTCATTATGTTTCTTATCTGAATGTGGTTCAGTAGGTCAGCAGGTACCAGGGCGTGTTGGTCAGATTGTCGAAGTCGCCTGTTGCTCTCTGATGAACTGTATGGCTAGCTAAGTCCTAGTTATTGTCTAATGACGTAAGTGTTCAGTTTTTAATGTTACCTTATCTGGTTACACGCTAAAGCTATATCAGATCTGTTGTGATGATTTCCTGCCCATTATTTGTAGCGTCATCCGCATGTGAGTCACTGACAGCGCATAGTTCGGCTAAAATAGTTCTGTTGTGTGTGTGTCTGTGTGTACGCTAGCAGACACATGATGAGCTTTCGTGTATCAGAAACGGCGTTAGCTGTCGCAGGACCTGATTATAGTGATTTATGTAAGTCTCAAGACTCAGTAAAGAGAAAACCCCAACTGCAGCTCCACGCGGTAGAGGACCCTAAACACACTGCGGTGTGGCCAACGCAGCTATGGGACCGAGTAACCGCAGGGATAAGAGGATACCTCTGGCGTGCCCTCTGCTGTTAGCAGGAGCATCAGAGAGAGGGGCACTCACTTGCCCTCGCAATCGAAAAGGTTGCTAAAGGCTGGGGTTGTAGTCTAAAGACACGTGGATGTTGAAAGAAATAGGAAAATACCACATTACTATCTCAAGAAAAAAAAAGAGGCATCTTGAAAGATCTGAACGTAAAGGAAGATTGGCTAATAAACAGCACCCTGTCTGGGAAGCTGAAATATTTTGGTAATATCAAGCGCTAGGACGGATAGGAAAAAAAATATAGCAGAAGGCATGGTACCAGGAGGAGAGGCAGGGGTCGACTGACACTAAATGGGCACAGGATATAAGTGACTCCTTGAGTGTGAAAGTGCATGAGGCGGGAGAACTGGCGAGAGACCGAGTTTCTTTCAGCCAAACTGTGAAGAGAGCGATGTTCTGCAAAAAGCTCGCTACACGATGATGATGTGATTTAAACATCCTGTGTGATTGCTGTGTCCATGTTCGCCCTATGAGGTGCTTTGGACACTAGCAATTAAAATGCATTTGTTTATTCTATTTACATTTATTGATATGTTTCGTGGCTTTCTGTCTATCAACATTATGAACAGTGTATATTTTCCGTAGATTTAGTACGATACTTCTTCTTGTTCTTCGATCTTTTTGTCAGAAAACATATCAGGAGGCCGAAAGCCTTCATGAAAACTATCGTGCAGTCCATATCTCTCCGTGTGCCATACATTTTTGTCTACATTGTGGTTGGAACAGGCCAGATTGCGTCTCTGTTGGCAGCATACAGTTGACAGTGTTGGGGCACATGCTCAGAATGTTATGGTGCCAAGATACAGGGACACGTCACAGCGCAGTGCCTTCACAAGCCATTACTGGATCGACGTTGATTTCGTGAACATCTATTGATGTACTAGCTGTTGTTCCCGTTGTCCTTACCAACACCTTGTGCTTCTGCAGCTTTCAGCAATATGACAATTATTGTGTTCAACAAACGGTGAAGAGCAAAGAGCAGACTACAAATACTAAGACATAGCAACAAAAAAAAGCATACGAAAAAGAAGAAGTAGCAAAAAGAAGAAGAAGAAGAAGAAGAAGAAGAAGAAGAAGAAGAAGAAGAAGAAGAAGAAGAAGAAGAAGCAGCAGCAGTGATACACCTAAGTGTATGCCATTTTTTTTTTAACAGTAGATGCTTTGAGAGAAAGGAAAATACAAACAGTTATTTAAAAAAAAAAAAACACATTATTTTGCTTGGGACATTTATTTTTTCTTTCTCTTTTCTCAGTATTTATTATAATGGACTGCTGCGTGTGTATAAACACAGGCTCTAGTAGATATTGCTTCACTGAGCCAGTGATTACAGACGTTTGTTTCTGGATGTAGCGCGCTTTTGTTGTGAAACATCAAACTCTTGTGTATCGGCCTTATCTGTTGATGAACGTAGGTGAGATTAGGTAGAAAAAAACAAACAATAGGGGAATGCAATAGGAGTGAAAGAACATTAAAAGAAGACTAGTATTGTTTAGCTGTGTCAACGAATTATTGGGTAAAACGAAGTTAGAGCACATTCGCTGTGGAAAAAGCGTCAGAAACAAGCGATGTCGATTAGATGGGGGGGGGGGGGGGGGGGTGGGGGGGGGAGGGGGGTGAGGGCGGGGAGGGCAACAGGGCGAACACAATGCGAGTGAATTAACTATACTGAAGGGCAAAGATACGAGGGAATAGTCTGTGAAGAAGAAAAAGACAGCAGTGAATTAGATGTCGAAAAATAAAATTACCAGTGAGTTAGCGGTTGTTGGTTAAATAATAAGATACCAGTGAATTAGATAATGAAGAATACAATTACCAGCGAATTAGGCGGTCGTTCGTAGAAAAATAAGATACGAGTGAATTAAATGAAAAATATAATTACCAGTGAGTTAGCGGTCGTTCTTGAAAGAATACGATACCAGTGATTTAGTAAGCAAAGTAGTAAGTAAAGATCCCTTTACACGCCCTTAGGGGCATCAAGCATATGAGAAGAGCACCCATATTTTTACAGACCAATCGACATTCTGTGGGTAATGTAGTCAGCATTACGCCGGCCGTCTTTACTTTCCCAGGACAGCCCATCCTGGTACCCATTTGAGGCTGGGTCGACCTGCGACGTCCCATACCACGATAAAAATCCACGCAGCCCACGCAGGTTTCGATCGCGGTACGTTGGATTACGAGTCAGACTCGCAACGCCTTAGCCACGGACGCCGCAGTGATTTAGATGAAGAATAGAATTACCATCCAGTTAGACAGTCGTTCGTTGAAGAATAGGTTAATTTGATTTTGAAGAATAGACATACCAACGTGCTAGGCGTTCGTTGGTAGAGGAAATAGATATGCAAGAATTAGATGTCGAAGCATAGAAATATCAACGAGGTAGTGGTCGTTCGTAGAGGAAATAGATACGCAAGAATTAGATGTCAAAGCATAGTAATATCAACGAGATAGTGGTGGTCGTTCGTAAAAGAATAAGATACGATTGAGTCAGACGTCAAAGTATAAAAATATCAGAGTCTTAAATTGGGTGGAAGAACAAAATACCAGCGTTTTAGCTTGGGTGGAAGAACAAAATACTAGCCTTTCAGCTTGGGTGGAATAACAAGATACCAGCGTCTAGGCGTGGGTGGAAGAACAAAATACCAGCGTCTAAGCTTGGGTGGAAGAACAAGATACCAGCGTCTAAGCTTGGGTGGAAGAACAAGATACCGGCGTCTAAGCTTGGGTGGAAGAACAAGATACCAGCGTGAACATCGATTTCAGGTTGTCCATGAGGTCAAGAGGAGCAGCAGACTGCAATCCTTCATGTCGGATTCCTTGCCTGTGTCCTCTAGCCTAGAGTAATATTCTCATTTAAGTACGTCGCTGTTAGACAGAAAATTTATACTCATTTAACTAAAGCATCGTGTCTCAGGAACTTGGTGTCTTCAGTTTAGTAGACGAGAGAGACTCCACGGAAACTCAGGTGTAGTTCGTCACCAGAATGTCTCCCATTTGGCTAAGCACGATACGTCAAACATGAGGATACAAATGTACAGGACTGTCTTTTCTTCAAAACTGTTAGAATAGGGTCTGTGTCCAATGTAGGCTACTTCTCTACATATTGTCTACTCTCTCATCAAATTTAGTCCCTTCTCAACAGGTGCTTCTTGTCTTCACAGTTTGTTTCATAAGAGATGATTGTGCTGTCTCACAACACCTGGCTCTGACTTAGCCAATGGAGTGTTCTCTTCATACTTAGTTCTGACTCAACCAATGGACTGTTCTCTTCAAACTTGGTTCTGACTCAGGCTATGGACTGTTCTCTTCAAACTTGATTCTGACTCAACAAATGCACTGTTCTCTTCAAACTTGGTTCTGACTCAAGCAATGGACTGTTCTCTTTAAATTTAGTTCTGACTCAACCAATGGACTGTTCTCTTCATACTTAGTTCTGACTCAAG